CTTTCCACCCCCCCTGCAGCTCCCTTCCTCCCTCCGAGGATGGGCCGGGAGCGAGGAGGCGTCTCATCATTTACTGCCCACGGAGGCATTTGTTTTTCATTTTGCAAACGCTTCCCTTTAAGTAATTGTTCCTGTTAAGAGCGTGTACCTTTCACCGGGCTCCGCCGCACTATAAATAATCCCGATGAAGATGCAAGGATATGACTTTCACAAGATTGGACAATTGATTAAAACTGTGACCTGCAATTGCGAATAATCTTGGAAGGCTATTTAAACAGATGAAGGCCTAAATTGTCTTGCTTGTATCTGAATTAATTTCTCATTCATCATCATTATGGAGTGATTGGTTCTATTCAGGCTCTGCAGCCTGCTGGAACGAAACTGGATTTAAATGAGACTGTAACACAATTTAAATGCTCTCCGGCTTTAACGAGGCCAATCGAGCAGCTGCAATAAATACAAATATTTTTCTAAACAGCCTTGTTTTAAATAATTACTTAATACTTTCATGTGATGTTCTTAAGTGGCAATTTCTGTCTCTCAAATCCCAGGCACTCCTTCGCAAGAAGGGCAGCGGGGAAAAGCACTTTGCCTATTTGCTTTGTGTTTGTGTACGTTTGTGTGATGCACCGGTGGTTGGTGATTCTTTAACGCGGGTTGTGTAAATATTGGTGTCAACCCGGGTTGGGCGGGGGCACAATCAGTTTGACTGGAGAAAAAAAATGAAAAATGAAGAAAAGGGAAAAAAAACATGAGCAGAAAATTGCGGTGGTCTCTTTGCTTTCGTGTTTGAAAGAAGGGAATGAGAGAATTAGAAAAAGAAAAAACTTGGGGAAGGAGGGGAGCTGCTCCACGCAGGATCTGCCCATCCACGGGACAGCGCTCAGCGCCTCCGCGGGCGTGGAGGGGACGCGAAAATGAGCAGCGAGAGGGGAGCGAGGAACAAACGGGGAGTCAGGAGTGAAGGGATGAAGCGAAAGGACGTGGGAGTCACGTCCCACGCAGGAACCTGATGCGCCCGAATGGGGCCATTTGCGGTAGGACGCTCCGACTCACCCCGGCGGTGCGGTACCCCGGGTGACAGCATTGTGAGCTGCGAGACCCGGCCTCGGGGTGACATATGGCGGAGGGTGTTCGCAGGGGCAGTAAAATTAAGCGGCCGTGCGAAGAAGAATAGGGAGAAGAATAGGAAACAAAAGGATCCTTCGGATACACGAGTCAAAAGCTAAGGGTGCCGCACTCTTTGCTGCAGGTGCTGGCAAACGACCTAACAACCGAGCAGAAAATGGGAAAGATGGAGAGCCGATTTTCTAATGATTTGGGCGCTGGAGGAAAGAATAGTGCTGGGAAAGCAGATCAGGTCCCGTTTAATCATACAGCCTTAATAAAAACGTATGGTCTGAGACGGGGACGTAAGCGGCAGTCTCGGCGCTATCTCACTTAATGGCACAGAAGGTGACATAAAACACAACAGAGATGGGTTGAGCGGAGCCGAAGGGGGCTGAGTGATTTGATGGTAACGGAGCAATTTAATGCGCGAGTTACAGCACCGCTCCTCGGGATCGTTTAGGCTTAACCCATTCTCCAGAGCTCATCTTCTTCCTCTCGCGGTCCTTTTTTTATTGGTATTATTATTATTCAGTTGTTTAAAATGAGCATTATCCCAAACATATGCAGTGCAATCAGCTCGGTCACACTTACAAGAACACGCTTTAATAAGGCAATCAATCAAACGCTAACAAGGCGGGGAAGGCCTTTCGGAGCCGAATTGGGCTGGCTGGGGAGCGGCCACGGGGCAACCGAAGGCAGCCCAGAGCCCGCCGGTGACACGGGGGTGGGCACCTCCCGCAGGGCCCGGTCCGGCCCAGCACCTCAGCGATCGGGGGTCTCAACCTCGGCAACCGGAGGAGCCCGAAGCGGCGGGGGAATCGGGGAGGGGGGGAGGGGGAGGAAGTGCCGAGGCAGAACCGCTGCCCTCCCTGTGGGTGCCCCGCATGTGGCCGAGAGCGATGCCCCGCGTAGGGCCGTGGGCACCCCCTCCGGCGGCGAAGGCGTTAATGGCCCCGGCCCCACGCAGCAAAAGGAAAATTTCATTATGAAGTAATGAGTAATTCCTCCCGGCGAGATGTATTGTTATATCTTCCACTTCAATTTAGGAGCACAGCGGCTCAATTACCTAGAAAATACAGTCAATTAAAGGCTGCTGATTGGACACGAGGACGGATCATCGATCTTGTACTTTCCAATATCGCTCCAGACACCTCATTTTCCCTCCCCTATTAACTGAAAATACTCTCGGCATTACTGCGACCCGGAGCCTATTTACCTGTCGCAGGCAATCTCTGCCCTGTGACCGAGCCGCAGAGAAATTCACTGCCACCCCCTGTGCCGCAGCCCCCTCCGGGCACGACAGCCAGGGGGTGCGGGAGCCGCGGGTGCGGAGTGACCGTGCTCGGTGCGTGCCTCTGCACGAGGTCTGTCCCCTTTACCCACAGAGGTGGTGCGGGATGGCTACGTTTCCCCTCACACGCACATCACGCACCCCCATCTATATAAAATACGTGTATTTGACGCACGTGTATATGCGTGTATATATATTTTAATATGTATACTTGTATGTATATATATACATATGGCCCCCCTAGCTCACTGCGCATTGCAACCCGCTGCATCCCAGAAGGGGTGACCGCGCCTTGCGATGGCAGCAGGTGCCTCTGCCCGGCCGGCAGGAGGACTGCGGCCACTCAGGATCCCCCCGGCTTTACTGCGTGGCACTCAGACCCATCCGACGCCTCCTGTCCCCGGCGTTGCCAGGGCTTCTGGGTCGCTCCTCAGCTCCTGTCCTACCGAACTTTTTTTTTTTTTTTTTTTTTTTTCTCGAGCGTGCTAAAAGGCAAAGTCGTGGGGGAGGGAAGCCAAGATTTTCCCTAGCTCTGCCCTTGGACGCTGTTTACAGTTGTTATTTCCAGAGGGTGGGGGGAGGGGAATCTATTTGTGAGTGTCCAAAAAGGGCCATCAGTTTCCATGTCCATGAGGACATCTCGCTCAGAGAGGGAGGAACAATCTGCCCTTAATGATTTAAAGATGATGACTTTGGATCTGTTTTATAACAAAAGGCTCTAATAAACAATTTTAGATTGGAAAAATATATCCTGGCACGCTCGCGTCTCTCCCCTGCTTTCCATCCACTGCAGCGAAGAGCTGCTCTGTGCTCCCTGCGCTGAGGACAGAGCGAGAACGGACCGGAGGTCCTCAGCAGCTGAGCGCACAGCCGATAGCGGAGGTGTCAGCCCGACTCGGTTCGGCCAGCTTTTGTCCTCCTGCTTGGCGAACCGCAACTGCACGGAGGTGAAATTCGTCTTAAGCAACGCTTTGTTGGTTGGTTTTTTGTTTTTTGTTTTCCTTTTTTTTTTTTTTTTTTTTTTTAAACAAGCGCAATAAAAATGTGGATGATGTGTCGTTTAAATGTGCCTATCAGCTTTGCAGTTAGCGGTGGTGGTACTGTGGTGGTACTGTGTTTTGTTCCGACACGGTAACAAATGATGACGGTCTTTGGGCTATTTAAAAATAGAGTCAAATAAACAAATTCTGTTTTGGAAGGAACTTCAGCCCAGCTCGATGTGCGTGTTTGCTTTCAGAACTGTAGGCTGACGGAAACCCGAGCAAAAGCGATGGTGCTACCTCCTTCCGAAATACCTGAAGGGGAAAGGGGAGGGTATGCGGAAGAAATCCTCCTCCAGAAGGAAGAGAGAGCAGTGTGAAGGGCACATACAGATGCAAAGAGCAGGGTGGGGAAGGAAATAAAAAACAGCACTTGAAATGTAAAAAAAAAGGGGGGGAAGAGGGGGGGAGAGGGAAGGGAGGATGGGAAAGAGCCGCATCCAGAAGTCAGTGAGAGAAGGCAGTACAAAGGAAAGGAAATCGCCTTTGCTCCAATTTACAGACTGGTGATTGTCTGAAGGAGTGCTGCTCCCTGTCACCTAATCTCTTCCCTTGGCGGCTTGTTAGCGTTTGGCACGGGGGCTCTGCTCACGGAACATTGTACATTCGGTATTCAAAAACCCTTCTTACATATACATCACTTGCTAATTTCGTCGGTGTGTGCACATTTCAGCGACTGATAATAGGACGTTGTTATTTAAAGGACAAATAGCTCTGACCCGTAGAGAAGCAGCAGCTCGTGTTTTCTTTTTTTTCTTTTTTTCCCTGCCAATTCCTGTCTACCTCTTAAAACTAAAAGTTGGAATGAAAGAGGAGATGCGATGCTGCAGTTCTGCTCAAAGTGAAGGAGGAGACAAGGGACAGTAAAGAATGCAATTAAATCACGATAGCAATGCACAGAATGTCAGGTTTTTTTCTTTATGGCAAAGCATTGTTTTTCTCTATAGAAATTACTGGATAATACTATTGAATTGCAATCCTGAAACCTTTTGGTTTTGCTGTTTGATCGTTGGTTTTATTTTCTGAACGCCCCGGTGGATCGCAGCTTTGCTTTCTTCATGCGCACCAGCCATTTCGTTATCGAGATAATGTTTCTTTCAAGTATTTCAGATTTCCCCTCTCAGTCCCATAGCTCTGTGCATAAGGTCGGTTGCTGTAACCCGCAGAAGTTCTGGCCCCGGTAGTAAGTCTGTCAATCGACAAGAAAGTCCCCGCTCATCTCTGTGTTGAATGAAATGTGTTTCATTCAGGTAGATTTTGTTTCTTCTCCGTGCTTAAAACCCTTCTCCGAGATAAATCACTGCTCGTCCCTGTTCATTTTTTTTTTTTTTTCCTTTTTCTTTTTCCCCCATGGAATGTAAATCCTTTCAAGACTGAGTCATTTTTAGTCTTTTTTGTTCTTTTTTTCTTTTTTTTTCTTTTTTTTTCTTTTTTTTTTTTTCCCATAGGTGTCCACTTCTGGGGATAGAACACGATTAAATTAACATCAACCGTACGTACATTAACTCGAAGAGCACCCGGGAAAGGGGCGAACTATTGAACAACCCTGAGACGAAGCTTTATCTCGTTAAAGGTACTTCTTCCCGCTGGTCCATGGAAACCGAGGTGGCTTTGCTCAGCACCGAGGGGGTGAAAGTGAGGAAGGAGTCCGTCCTGGTGGTGGCCGAGCAGGTAAAGTCTGACCCGGCGGGTCTCTGTGCCAACCCGTTGGACGGGCTGCCGTGGCACGCCAGGCACGAGCAGGGGCTGCCACCGGCGCTGCCGAGTCCATGGCTCGGGGCGGGGTACAGAGAGGGGTGCCTGAAGGCGCAGAGCAGCTCCGGTCGCGGGTACGGGTGGGACAGGACGCGGAAGGTGTCCAGCGGCCGCAGCGGGGTGCTGAAGGGAGCGGCGGCCGAGGCCGAGGTGGCCCCGATGCCCATGTGGGAGTAGTAGGGCAGGGGCAGGTGGGATGGGAAGGGGTAGGGCAGGTTGCCGGTGGCGGCCGCGTGGCTCATCATGTAGGTGTAGAACGCCGGGTCCGCCGGGTGCGGCCAGGTCATGGCCAGGCGCTGCCGCTTGTCCTTCATCCGCCGGTTCTGGAACCACACCTGCGGAGAGAGGGGAGGCCACAGCCGTCACCCGCCACTGCCGCGCATCTCCCGGCTCCGTGCGTGGCTGAGCCCCGGGACCGCTCCCCGTGGCCGAGCCGACACCGGCAACAGCCCCCGCTCCTTGAAGGGATCGCTTAAAGCTCTGTGAATCCTGAGAGAGACCCAATGGGGTTATCTCGTTTGGGTGCTTATCTCCCTTTCTTCCACAGGGGCTCGTTCCAGGGAACCCTCCGGGCAAACCCGACCGCTCTGCCTCTTGCAGACAGAATTACCTGGGATTCCTTCTTTTTTTTTTTTTTTTTTTCCCCTAATTTTATTATTATGTGGTGCGAATGCTACAGCAAATAGAGAAGCAGAGCGGGGAAAAAAGAGATTCGGAGCTTCTACTGCCCTCCTATTCCCTCCCTCGACAGCCGAGAGAGTTTTGGATTGGGCTGAGGAGAAGATTAGCTATAATCCAGTGGGGAGAGACCGGATTAGCGGTGCTGGCTGGGATGGCCCCGGAGCCGCGTCGTCCCCCTCCCCCCGCAATGCCGCATGCTGCGGGGTGCGGGTAGGGCCGGGAGAGGGGCGGGGGGCGGGGGTGTGAGAGAGGGCTGCGCTGGCGAAGTGCTTTCCCGAGTTTTGCAAGGAAGTTTGGCTATATAGATTTATATCGTGCTAATTGGAAACATGTCCGATCCGTGTGTACCTTGATGGTGGTTTCTGGCAGATTTAGAGCAGCCGCCAGCTCACATCTCCGGGGCCTGGACACGTAGTTCTCCCGGTAAAACTCCTTCTCCAACCGGGCGATCTGCTCGCGGGTGAAGGCGGTGCGGTACCGGCGCATCTGGTCGCTGGCGCTGCAGCTCAGCGGGCCCTGGGAGCCGCCGCCGCCGCCGCCGCCCTTGGGGTGATCCCCGCCGCCGCCGGGGCTGCCGGCCCGAGTCTCGGAGCACTGGCCTAAGAGTGGAGCCAGCAGGAGGGACACATGCTGGGAGATGGGTGGGCACGGGGGAATGCTCCCCGCCCGTCACCCCATAGAGCTGCCCTCTCCCCCGCACGCCTTCCCGTTTGTGTCTTTTTTATGCCTGCTCCCCTAGAGTAGGGATGCTTGGGAGATATCCATGAGAAGCGGGGCTGGAGAAAGAGGTGATGACTCAAAACATGCATACGGCACCCCGGCAGTGACCGCCGGGCCGCCCGCTCAATCCCCGCGCTGTGAAGCCGGAGGCTGCCGCAGCATCCCCGGCTCCGAGGGCTGGGAAGGGCAGGTGTGCCCAAGGCCTTCCCGCAGCCCAGTGAGGGCCCGGGAGCGGAGCAGTCGGCGGGCAGGAGCCCAGCCCCCACCCCGGGGAGGGGGTCAGGCCCTGGGGACCCTCTGCTCAGCCTCCAGAGCTCGAGGTGGGATGTTTTCCGAGAGCCCCTAAAGGACGGAATGGAGGCAGACATCGCCGTCCGCACTTCCCAGCTTCTTCTTCGAGTGATGGAGGAGCGGGGAGAGGAGAGAAGCGGATCGTTGTTAGGACTGGGGGGGCTCCACCGGGATGAGAAGGTGGGAATAGGGAGAAGGGGCTGGGGGAGAAGGGGCCTGGCCGCTGCGTTTTCTTTCAAATGCAACTCTCTCTCATTGTGCCCGAGACCAAAGGCAATTAATTCATTGGGACCATTTCCGAGCTGGCGCCATCGAGACACAGAAGTGACAAGGTAATTTGGACCTCTTTTTCTTTTTTTTTTTTTTTTTTTTTTTTTTTTTTAACTCAACGTGCAAACAAGGACCTCTCCGCCGCACTCGGGGCAGGCAGGAGTCGGCGAGCGATTTTACGGTCTTTACGGGCGCTTCCGCACTCGCCCGGGCACATTTCACCCTGCGAAACCACAAACAGCTCTCGGCCAGAAAACCCGTTTGATGTTGCTCCCCCGTGCCCACCCCCTTCGCGCTCAGAACCGCGCCGCTGGGGAAGATCCGAAGGGGTTTCCTGGAGAAGGCACCGTCCGCGTAGTAGGGAAGGAAGAAAATAAAATAAAAGGATCGGTGCGGGGGGCTCTTGACCCAGGGGCCCTGCGGGACCGGCTGCGGATTTGATGCTCAGGGAAACCTGGCTGCCCTCCAGGGGCGCGGCGGCTGCCCGCTGTCGTGCCCTCCGCCTCCCCAGCGAGCAGCTCGATGCCAGGAAGCCGGGGGCCGAGGGATGGACTGGAGAAGGGAATCCCCCCGCCACCCCCGCCCCGGCTTTGAGGGGAAGCCCCCCTCCGGCAGCCCCCCGCCCCCCGGTGCTGCCCCCCAGCCCGGGAGCGGGAGGGGGCTGCAGGCATGGGAAGGAGTTGGGTACCTTTGCTGTGCTGGTACTCGGCGCTCCCCGTGGCGCAGTCCGGGGTGCAGCTCACCTCGATTTCCTCATAGAAATCCGACTCGGTGTCCGAGCTGCTCTGCTGCCCTTTGCTAGAGGGGGGCTCCGTGCCGGGGGGTTGCTGTCCGGCCCCGAGCAGCGCTGCCGCCGCCGAGCGGCTCTCCGGCACCGTCCCTGTCCCCGGCAGCACCTCCACCTCCTTTTCGTCTTCTCCGCCGCCACCTCCTCCTCCTCCTCCTCTCTCCCGGGACGACAAGGGGCCAGGTCTGGGGCTGAGGCAGTTCCGAGGGATCATCTTCTCCTGCGGCTCCGGAGCGGGGCTCCTCACCGTTTCGGCCAAATTAGGCATCCTCTTGCCAACCAGAGCGCCAAGTTGCGTCCCTTCCAGAAACATCACCATCTCCTTCCTGCTTTCCATCGTGGCTTCTCTTAAGGGAGGGGGGAAACAAATCCAGATCTCGTCCCCCCCCTCCCCGCCGCTCCCTCCCCAGCCCCGTGCGCAGCCCGCGACCCGCTGCAGGCGGTGCGGAGGAGCAGCGGGGAGATGGGGTGACCTTGTGATGCGAGCGCTGCTCTGTGCCGTGCTGCTCTGGGAGGGATCACCATTGCCCTCTTCTTTCTAAGCTGTCATCCACAATGGTGCAGTCGTCATTACAGTACCACTAGTGACGCCACACATTGATTGCCAGCGGATAAATAGAAACGTCTGCCATGGGGAAGATGAAAGGAAGAGTCGGAGCTAATGGGCTCAACGCGTGATGCACCTGGTTTAGGAGCCGCGATGGAGAGGGAAGTGTGAAAGGGAGATGCATATGGAGCGGAGCTGCAAAGAGGTTGTAACATGCGGGCAGAGTTCCGCGGGGGGAAGCCCCGCTTGGCCATTAACAGAGCCTTTTGATTGCTTTAAGCCACCGCCTTGATGTAAAACCGAGGCGAAGAGCCTTAGTCGCATCCTGGGAGTGAGAAGATGCGTACCGAAGCCTCTTCCTTCGATGCATTATTTATTGCTGGCAATCGGCTTCCGCAGAGCTGCATGGATGAGGCGTTAGAAATCCTTTGCAAACTCGAGGATAAGGAAATGCGCTACTGACATTCGAATGTAGAAACAGCCTTGGCTTCTCGTTATGATTAAGTATCGGTGCCTGTTCGTAGAGTTTTGATTGAGATTAAACGATAGTTGAAAATTCGGAAATGCGGTTACAAATTTATTGCTTTTTACAGCGGAAAAGATAGAACCGACTTCACTTGTCGTAACTGTAGGTAGTCTGTCTACCTGGTCTTTATCATTTAGTCTCATTTCTTCCTTCATTTTCCATATTTTCGATTCTCTTTTAGGAGGGTTTTCGTCCTCCTCCCCTTTCTACTTTTTATTTAATAGTTTTGCATACATTGTTATCTACTTTCAGGAGGAACAACTGCGAGAAGAAGCTCTGCCAGAGCAATACAGAGAGAAATTCGCATTATCAAGGCCAGAACTCGTTCTCATCAGCAGACGCTGCAAACCAGAGATGACGGGGGCAGCCACAAGGACAGCACTTGTCTGAAAATCAGAGACCTCGCACCCCAAATATGTGCTCTCCTTGGTGTATTTCGATATTTCTAATGAGTGCAGCAAGGATCTCATCTCGAGTTCATATTGACTCGCACGTGTAGTGTCAGGTCATTCTCACCATCTGCCGTAACGAGATTGTTCTCAATTTTTTTTTCTTGGAGCGTTATTGGCTAGTCGGGTTACAGAAAACATTCAGCCAATTACGTTTCCTACCCGGTAAGGAATTTACTGGCATATTTGAAGTGACGTCGCTTTGGTAGGGAACGGGCAGAGCAATGGGAAACACGCTGGGATTTTCTGTAGAGCCCCGCGAGCAGGAAGCAAGAAGGCAGGCAGACAGAGAGACAAATAGACAGACAGACAAACAAACAGACTCCCCATCCTCTCGGTCCATGGGTGAAGACGTGCTGCAGCAATAGAATGCCGATTTCAGGGGGATAAAGCAGGAATTTTTACAGGGTACCGCCACCAATCTCTCGCTCTGCCTGTGAGACACGCGTACTCGTTTATGGGCACACACACCACGCACCACCCCGCTCAGACCGCACTGATTTCATCACACATGTGTTGCCTTATGTATCGAAAACTCCTCGCTCGGTTCCCTTCCCCTTCTTTCCCTTGCCAGACTCAGACCCGATGTGTGCCCTCCGCGCTCCTGACGAGGACCCGCCGCCGCAGTCCGGCTCCCGGGAGCGGACAGGGACAGGGGAGCCCCCGAAGCGGGCTGCAGAATCGGGCCCAGCTGCTGGAGAAGGGATGAACGGACTGACTTTAGCAGTCCGTCTCCACCGCCTCTTGCTCTCAGAGGCCGGGGCTGGGACGGGGAGCGGTGCACGGGGATGAGGGCAGTGCGGAGCGGAGCAGCCGTGTCGAGATGCGGCAGTTCGGGCAGCGCCGTGCCCGTGGGGCTCTGGTGGCCGCTTCGTTACTGGCTAGTTTCGTGTCACCATCGCCTCTGAGGGCTGCGTGAAGGATTCGCCTCCCCCGAGGCCCCGCTCAGAGCCGGTCTCACGGGGAAGCTCGCCTTCGGACTCCCTCCTGGCTCAGGCAGGTAGTTGAGGAGGTCTGTTGTGTCTGCGCAGTTCCCCATTACTACCAGTTTTGGAGCAGCGAGGGGAGGGACGTTCATATCTCTTTCTGATTAAAACAGTAACAAGGAGCCGAATGCAGAACGCAGGGGAGCTTCCCCAGACGGGCCGATGTACATGATGACTGCCGGGAAGTTTGCAGGAAATCTTCCTGTCTGCATCAGGTTGGAGCCCTCGCGATGGTTCCCACCGGTTACCCCGGCCGATCCCCACCGATCTGATTATTTTCGTTTCTAATCCATTGCTGCCTCATTCCTCGCCCTGCTCTCAGCCCGATCCCACCGGACACCACCCCCGGAGTTTGTCGCTCCCGTGCTGCTGGCCGTTGTGAGGGGCGGTGTGAGTCAGCGGCAGCACGGGCTGCAAAACACACACTTACACACGGACAGGCAGTCAGACACCCTACACGCAGAGCTATTTGCCAAGAGTAAACACAGAGCTCAAGGCCCGAATGGAGTCTTAGTGAAGGGGAAAAAAAGGAAAAAAGAAAAACAAAGAAAGAAAAAAAAAAAAAAAAGAAAAAAAGGCTCTGCTGGGCTCAAAGTGCATTAGCACGGCGCTTCGTGCATTGCTTTTATTTTCACAGCCCCAAGGAGGATGCACGGCCACGACAGCCCCTTCCCACACAGCCCGTCCCGTCCCGTCCCGCTCCCCTCTCCCTGTGAGTGATGCTGCGCCGGGAACGGCTCCGGCTTTGCCTCTGCCTTGTGTTTCCCACAGATCTGTCAAGTCCGATTTGGAAGGAGACTCCCTCATTTGGGATTAATTTCCAGGCAGATTGGAAAGTATATCTCTACGGGGTTTTCTTTTTTTTTTTTTTTTTTTCTTTTTTCTTTCTTTCTTTTTTTTCTACAGAGATTTTTATGAAGTCTCCCTCACTCTGTTGGTCACAATCTGGACGTCAGAACTACCCTCAAAACTTTCCAAACTGATTTATTCCTTCGACCTTTCAGCTCTCCTTGCTGAATTATGGCCGAGGCAAGAGCAGGGAGACAGCATTCAGAAGGCACAAATCGCGGCAGAAAGGATTCCCGATGTATGAGCAGGAAACGAACACAATCTCATCCCAAACCAAAGAAATATAGAGGGGCATTCAAACATTTCCAGAGTAACATAACCATAAATCAAAGGTGTCCCTCAGAAGTGCAGAGCCCGGAGAAGGAAATATCCATCACACACTTTTTAGCCACGGGAAATTCCTTTTCTCCCGTCGGTCATTGGATATGGGGACTCGAGGCCGATGCTGTCCTGAGGTGGCTGTGATCCCACGGTGCAACCACAGCCCGTCTGAAACACAACCCCTGTCGTCTCCCTAAGACAGGGAAAGCACTGGTAAATCGCAGAACAATTTAGTGCCAAAGAAAGCACTGATATGAAAGCACAAGCAGGCGACGAAATCAGACAGCTTATTTTTCCATTTTTAATGGATAGTGTTAACAATAATGACGTAATTATCACTGTTCTATTAAGGCTATTTTTTACAACACAGTTAGAGGTGGAAGCTTTGGAAAGAAGAGAATGATAGGTGCATGATGCTGGGCATAAATACAAGCTGATAGATTGACAGCAAATAACACATAAGTGCACTGAGGAGAGAAGACAGAGCTGCGAGTAGGATGTGCCCAGGAGAGCGTGTAATGTCATTTACAGGATCCGATCCAGCACAGATATCTGCCTCTGTGTAGCTCCGAATATGGGATCCAGGCATCTGCATGGAAGGCATCTGCTTTTCTTTTCATTATTATTGTTTTCCTTGCTAGCTGCCAGAAGCAGCATTTCTCTGCCACCACCATAGGCTTCAGAGATTATAACTCGTTCCACCAAAACCTGAAGAAGAAGGGCCCGGTTCTGCTCCAAGAACAACCAGGACAATTTGCTCGTGGAAACCAGATCTGCTGCTTCACTGTTGTCAGTGAGTACATTGTAAAGGAATTTGGGCTTTTGATTTCAGTTGCTATCACTTCCAGACTCGTCAAGAGCCATAAAACTGCTGCATCTTTTTAGTGTTACCGTGAACTGTAAAAACATAATCTGCGTGGCAAACTTACTGATTTGAAAACAGAAGAATATTTATAGTGCGAATTTCATTTGGCAGAAGGCACAGGTAAATGAAAATGAACAGCATTTTGGTGGATCCCATGTTGAAGATTTTTGATTTTTTGTTTTGTTTTGTTTTAGATTGAACTGAAGGGAAACTCAGCCCCCAACTCTCCATGCTGTACATCCCCAGGGCCCCCATCATGGGTGTCTGTGCCCCGGGAGGAACGGGGCATTCATGAGGGGTGTTTGTCACACACGGTATCATTGGTGTCTGCCTCATCACACAGCACGCAGTTACAGCTGGCAGCTGTCTGTTCCCTCTTGCAGAACCTCCCTTTCCAGACATGGGAAGTTTTAGGCCTGATTCTGCTCTATATGGGCCAAATTGACACTGAGCTGAAGCAAAGCTACGTTTCCACAGTCTTATCAAGCCAGGGTGGAGAGAGTTGGAACCGAAGCTCAAAGCACTGGGGATAGACCCTGAGAGGGAGAAGTGTAATCCCCATCTCCTCTGGCAAGAGAGATTGGGTTCAGAGAAGCTGTGGATGCCCCATCTCTGAAGGCACTCAAGGCCAGTTTGGGTGGGGCCCTGGGCAGCCTTAGCTGGTGGCAGCCCTACCCATTGCAGGAGGGTTGGAACTGGATGGGCCTTAAGGTCAATTCCAAACCAAGATATTCTATGCTTCTGTGATTCCATCCCAGCTTGTATACTTGGATCCTGGGGACCATTTTCTTCCC